GAATAGGCCAAAATCTGCCCTCCGGAAGTCCAGAGTAGAAGTTTTAATGATGGCTCTCCTTACATCCCTAAGGATTGAAAATTCTATTATTTCGTGGTCACTATGCCCTAGGCGGCCTCCAACCACTACATCATCCACCAGCCCCTCTCTGTTTGTAAACAGTAGGTCTAGTGGGGCCTTACCCCTGGTAGGCTCATTTACCAGTTGATGAAGGAAATTATCCTCTATACACTCCAGGAACCTCCTTGACTGCCTCTTCTCTGCAGTATGAAGCTCCCAGCAGATATCCGGCAGGTTAAAGTCACCCATGAGCAGAAGGGTTGGAGATTTTGAGACATCTGCCAGCTGCTTGTAGAATAATATATCTAAGATATCTAGATATCTTTTTATTCCTCCCATTTTTCCTTTAGAAAACTTAAAGTTAAGTGATCTTCTAAGAGAAGTCAACACCAACCTGAATCCTCAGCAAGCTCTCAGTGGATTTGTTGCTCAGCTAAGAAGCGTGGACCATAAAAGGAGAAAGGATGAGAATGAAAGTCCTTATTAACATATTTGAAAAGAACAGCAGGTCAGGAGAATGAATTGTGTCTTAATATTGAAACAAAAATGAAACAGGCATTCTTGAATTAAAATTCTTCAGAACTTTCTATGTTTGAAGGTTCTTCCCCCAGCCAGCACACAATACAAGTCTGAAAGTATGGGAACTTCTCACGTGAAATTCAGTTTTGTGTCCAGCTGCACTTTTGAAATAGAAATTCATAAATAAGAAACACAACCTAGTTTGATATGAATGAAATAACATTTTTAGAGCAGTGCTAAAATCTTGGAGACTCAGTCTGACTTTTGCTTGTGTACATACACGTGCAAACACATTTCTGCGATACTGCGAGTGAGCACAGAGGAATGTTATAAACAAGCATTTCTCCGTTGCATGCACAAATGGTGTGTTGCAAGTGCAGGGAAGCAGAGGCTGCATGGCCAAAAACATGGGCTCTAGCCATGAAAATGCAGTCCATGATCAGATCAGATCATGGTAACACCTGCAGATTTCTGGGTTACATTTTACCTACGCTCCCGATAGCATACACACCACAGCGCTCATGATATTCAATCCTTGGCCTCATGCTTCTTCTTAAGAAGGAAAACCACCTTACATCAGAGCCCTTTGGTGAAGGACCACACTAACTCTTGACTGTTATCAGGCTCTGGTCTGCTCTATTTTCTCAAGTACTGAGAAATTTTTCATCTGTCTTTTCATCAACACCCGAATCATTTTTCTAATGCTAAAGGCTACTGTTTGCCAGCAACACAGACTGGAAAAGGTCAGCCTCCTAGATCACAAACTCCAAACCTCTGCTGCTGCAAGGAAATATGTCTGAATTTTATTCATAAGGGCATAATGGCTGACTGTCCTCACAGCTGCATCCTGAATACACCACATTACTCCACGGATGCCTAACACAGAGACAGATCATGATCTCAGGTTACATTTAAGGATATAGATGAGTTGCATTAAAATGAGACTGATAGGGATGTATGTACCTGCTCTTACTGTCTTTTTCCTGATGAAAAAGGAGAAGACAACACAGGCACAGGGTCTCCTCTTGTTAATGGCTTCTTGCAAGAACTACAGCATTTGTCTTTAGGAGCTGGATGTAGCAAGGCTTATACTGAATCTGTCTCCCCAGCTTGGTCACTGTCCAAGTTTGCAGAGTGGAGGGGTGGGGAAATCATGAGTTAGGTTGTTCAAATCTACTATACGATAGTCTTGGTAAATATTTTAGCAATATTTGTTTTGAGCAAAGCACCCATTCTGCCAAGCTGTCTCCCTTTGTGTTAGGAGTCCTGCTGTCCCCTGACAGCTTCTCACATGAGATCAGATTACTGGGACAACAGCCAGAGTATGCCTGCTATAACCTATGCAACAGGTAAGGGTAGTGCCAGGTAAAAACAAGGGCCTGGAATGCAGGGTTAACCTGCATGGGCTTGTCCAAAACTTGAAAGTTTGCCCTGTTAGATATGGTCAAGGTATATAGCTGGTTGATATGATGCTGAGTGCAGACACAGATGAGTCATGTTCAATGCTGTCAAGTAAAGCCGTGGCTCTTGCACAGCACTCCCACTCCAGGGAGTGCTGATCTCAGCACACACTTCGCAACCCCATTTAGAAGCAACGTGGGACAAGGACTAGAAAGGTCTTAAATTCAGTTTGTTTTTTTCCTTTGCATCTTGTATTTTAGTCAGTGATATATACAAACACCTTCAGCTAGAAGCTTAAATACTGCTTTTTGAGACAAACAAAGAAAACAAAGTAAGTATTAGCAGATTTTCTGAGAACAGTTCTCTCTCATAATGAAAGATAGAAGTGAAAGTGAAATAAAGTTAGCAGTAGAATATTTAGAGAAAAAAACACCCCTAGCCTAGCAAGCTCATTCCCCTCTGTATCCCTATCTTCTTATTCTATTAAAAGTGAAGGTTTCTGTCATAGAAGCTGCACTGGTTTTTCTTGCGTACTGATCTGTGCTCAGTAAATAGCTGTGGTGGCAGAAAAGTGACTGACTGCTTTCCATTCATCACCACCTGCAGTGCAGTCCCCCTGCCACTTCTCCCACATCAGCTCAGCTGGTAGGTTGCTTGTACAGGTGCATACTAACTTGTTTCAGGTAGCCAAGACTGACTACTCGAAGTCAGTCCAGGTCATTGACAGAAAAGAAACATACTTTTTCATATTTTAATGATGTTCAGTCATTGTGATTGAACATCATAATGATGTTTTAATGAGGGATGATCACTGATCATCCCTCTTGCAATGCAGCAAAGAGGAATAGGTTTGGGATAATGCCTGGTTTTAACACTAGGCAGCAGTAACATGGAAACCTTCAGTATATTTGCCCTCCCAAGTGACATGTACTAAGTGCTGCCTGTACATCTTCAACAACAGAGAAGGAAAGAACAGCACAGAGGTGCTTTACAGATGAACTTCACCTTGTGTCTTGCAATGCTATTACAGAAATTTTGTCACTCTACCATAAAACATCTGTCAAGTCACAGTGTGCTAATAAATACTGGAACATGCACAACGAAGTCAGTTTGTTGAGTGAGATTCTTTAATAGCCAAAATGAATACTTATTCAGCTGTCAGTCACACCAATTAAAGGCATTGTGCACAGCTAATGACAATGGATGCACTCCTGTCTGTATTTTACAAAGTTATTTGATCTCTGTTAGGAGTTTGTTCTTTACCATAATGAAAGAACACATAAAGCACTACTGCTATTTGTATTATGAAGCATCTATTTATGTAAGCACAACCATTTTAAATTTAAATTGTAAACAAATAAAGCTGAAGAACTACTGTCTTTGCCAAGCAGGGAGCCTAAACATTGTATATGAAAATCCATTGTATTGTGGAACAGAAATTTGTGTTACTTTTATGTCTTGAGAATGTATTGACATTGCTCCAACATTTAAGGTATAATTCAGTGCCTGCCTGGACCTCTACAAAATAACTGACTGCTTTTGGTAGCACAGTCATCACGTGCTTTCATAAACATATGTATATGTACATAACCTGTAAAACTAGTACTATGCATCTACTTATCAAATCACCCCTCCTCACCAGAAAGGCCTGGAGTAAAGAAAAAAATAAATATACAATGTCATTTCTGATGGTGTGTTAAGAGAAATACACAATACTGGTATACCGAAAGATATGTTGAAGCCCTGCAAACATACATTTTTAAGAATTATTTCCTCCAGAACTTCGTTTAAAAAAAAAAAGTCTTTTGGCAGTTACAGGGCAAATTGCAGACATTCCTGACGGATTTAACTTTCTTTAGCAGACCTGTTATCAGTCTCATCAAGACTAATTAAGACTCGCCACTAATTGCTGGGCGTCATCTCTAGGGCTATAACAGTCATCGGATCAGAACTGAAGAGAGACTGCTTCTTGCTACAGAAATCACAAAGGGCCTTTTCATTCACTGTCTTTAGCACCTCAGTATGTCTGAATTTAAGAGACTGTAAATAAATGGTATCTTTTTGTTTTCAGAGTACATAGGAAAAACCTTTCTAGAATTTGTTAGGAATACTCGTTCACACCATTTTCTATAGCCTTCCTGAACTCCCCTTACATAACTTAATCACACACAGCAAGTGAAGAGTTCTCAAGACACAAACCTCTTACTTGGTCCTTCAAAACATGCCCTCTCTCCAGAACAATTTACTGCAAACAGGGTTACCATGGCATACCAAGCACCTCCCAGAAAACTAAAACAGTATCCCCTCCCTAAAAATGCTGGCATAGTCGTAGTGCACCCACCTGCTCCAAAACACTACTATCTCATAAGAACCACAACAACTGGAAAGATGTTAAGGGAAGAAAAGGGTCTCACAGCACCTTGCAATAGTCAGACACAAGCAAGAGCTATCAAGGCTCCAAGCCTGCCAGAGAAAGATCATACATGCCATGGACCACATTAGAATGGATTTGAAAAGTCATCTAGGTTGCAACAAACCCAAATACATGCCAGATTCTGCACATCACTACAAGTGCAAGATAAAAGAACATGACATTTTCACAGCAGTCATCAATACACTTATCAGTACAAACCACTGACACTACCAAAAAGCATTTACAGTTGCAAAATTCAAGAATGTGTGTAATCCTTCTATTGAGCTCTCACAAAGACTCTTCTGGGAACTGTTTAGAGGGAAAAGATTCACCAGATATGCCACAGGATATAAAAACAAGGCAAGCAGTTCTTTCCATGTGAGAAACAAGTTTGTACATGGAGAAAAAAACAGTAGTAATACTATTATTATTGCCACCCAGGCTTCACAGAGAGCACTCTGTCATCAGAACTCGCTGCTTTACAAGACAGATCAATATGCTAAGAACACAAGGAAAGGAAGATAGCAAAGGAATCTTGAACTCAGGAGGTAGGATAATATTTCAACTCTTTCATATAAACTATTTGACTGAAATATTCAAAACTTACCTGCTGTAGCTTTCGAAAAAAATCTATGAAGATGTCATTATTGGTAATATTTGAATCCAAAGTAACTGAAAAACAAGAGGAAAATTGGGAGAGAGGAAATCAAACTTGTCAAAAAGCTGAAAAATATGGCTAGTGTCTCAAAACAAGATGATTAAACAGTCATTGCTACTTTACCCATCCTTTGATTTCTGCATAGCTGCGTTTATCAGTCTGTTGTTAAACCACTGAAGCTATGAACAGGGCAAAATATATGTAATGTTGTTATTCTCCAAGCAATTCCTCAGTAAGATTCTTGACCGCATAACTCCATGTCACTCATATCCAGTAAATTTATAAGAAACTGTTGAATACTCATGTGAAAAAGATATAATAATCACTAAGTAAAACTTTAAAGACTAATCTTAAGTTTTGGGTTTCTAAGTCTTGGCACAAAGTATCTGAGGCCAGAGGCTGCAAAACCTTGTTAAGCTCATCCCCTTGCATGCCCCTTTGGATAGTTGAAATGGATGATTTTTTTTTCCCCTTGGCTTACATGAAACTCACAAGATGCATTCTAGGGATCCCGTGTTTATAACACAAGGACCTGGTTTATAACAGCACATTGCACCTGAGATATACTTTTTCTACAAACTCTTGTTATAATTCTCACAAGTCTTCCTGGAAACCTTTGAAGGGAAGAGGTTTGTGCAGAACTCAGGTCCATATTACACTTCTACCTGTCCAAGTGCCTGTCTCTTTTTGCTTCCCTCTTTTACGCACACGGGGTCCCTCATCAGCTTTGGCAGTTGTGAAGCAGAGGGGGTGGTTGCTCAGCTCACTGATCTGGAAGGATAGAGAATGGGCAGACTGCAGGCTGTTCAGTGTGAAACTGCACCCTTATGCTTTGGGAAAGCTGCAGAAAGACAGCTGCTTCAGAAGTGAGAGAAATATGATAAGCTGCTGTTCTAAAGCCAGTGAATCAACAGCCAGGACAGGGCTGCGTTGTTTAGATACACCCTTACTCAGCTCAGTATAGAAGGCAAAACGCCCTGCAGCCACAGTTGTAGACACATTCTCAAAGGTTTAAGCCCTACATACAAAAGCTGATCACATTGTTTTAGCCAAGTTTACCATTCTGAAGGTACTGCTCCAGGTGAGACTGTCTCTCATCTGTCACTGACTTGGTCATTGCTATGGAGGGAAGGCATGACTGCCTGAGCTGCAAAACAGACAAAGGGAAGATTCAAATCAATGAAGAAGCATTCATAGTTCCCAAGAAGCTTTCAGCGCTCTCTTTTTTTTACAACAAGACATGGAGGCACAGGGTACCCACCCAGCACCCCCCTCAGGGCCCACAGAAAGGGCAGAGCCTTTGTCAAGGCAGCCACCAGAAGACACCCCAAATGAGCACCTCTTTTGGTGGGTTCCACATTTTTACAGTCTTACCACTTCTGAGCTCCTGTTCCAGGCCGGAAAAGTAGCATTGCATTAACCTTATCAGCTAGGTCTTATACACTTCATGGGCAAACATGATCTGGTTACAGATGTCTTCTCTTTCTGGTATGTTCATAGAGAATTCCTGGTGACTTTTGCCTTTCACTTGTGCTACCTCAGAGGCTTTTATTATTTTGTCTGTGAGAGGTGGTAACTTTTATCAGATCACCTAATATTGACAAAGAAAAAACCCACAAAACCCAACTAAACAAAAAAAACTCAAATCAGAGAATCTTTCAGGAATACAAACTATCTGAAAGTTTGATTCTTCCTCCAACTATACTAGCTGGCTAATATGTGCATAATGACTCTGTACAAACCCTATCTCATTTATAAACAGACCAAAAAGTACCAGAGAATCACGATTCCATTACCTTACAATTGACATCAGGCAGCTCAAATATAGGCTTAGGCAGCATTTGGTCACTTGGAAGACAAAAATTCTCTACTATAGGCAAATTATCTCAAGCTATGTTTACCTTCTCAAAATGCACATTACTAAACCACATCGAAATAGAGCCAGTTTGCCTGGAAACATTCTTTCACCTAAATCAAAACAATATGTCATCTGATTGGTAAAATGAGACTGCCTACTGAATGCTGAGACATTACTACTAATTAAATTTATGCACCAGTATTCAACTCAGCAATTAGTGTTACTGAATCACCTGAAAGATGACATTTTCCTCTCCGGCCCCTGCTGCTCAAGTCTTTCACATGACTCCAGCAACTGAAGTGTGAAGGAAAAATGAAGTTTGTTACTGAAAGAATTAGCAATAGCTTTTTTTTGTCTGTTATCTAAAAACAGGAGTGAGGTGTATTTTCATAACTCCACTTTCCCTGCACTGGCAACACTCTGGTATCTCCAAGTTCTTGATTATTAGATATGTGTGAATCACTCTGAGATACACAACGTAAAAGAGTTAGATAACACTACATGCTTTGGTTTTATGTAAAGCTGACAGCAATAGAGTGGGTTTTATCTTCAAAGCCCTTAACATGCATGATCTTCCTCCAGGGACTGAAAATTATTATCTCTGCTCTACAGGCAGGCAAACTGAGGAGATACAGCAACAGAATTTGCCAAGAGTGTGACAACAAGGAGGTCCTCTCTCTTCCCTCTGTGTTCAGGCCATGCCTCACCTACACAAAGTGGTACTGACTGTTATCATCAGTTCGCACAAGCCAAGACTCCAGCCTACTTAAAAAAATAATTAATTCATCTCAGTGCCAGCTGCTGGGTAAGTTTCTTGAAAGGCGTCCTCAGGATTTGGGCCACAGAAAAGAGAAACTTCTCACAACCAATTCCACTTTTTCACATCTCAAAGAATTAAAGGAAAATGCCCATAAACTTTAAGCGTGTATTTGCGTATGGTGTTAAAAGCCCAGACAGGATGTTCCAACCTGGTGGAAGAGGTATGTAGCCTTCATCCAAGATTTCCACCTAAAACAGATAGAGTAGCTTCCCTAAATATGACAGTTTTAAGCTCTAAGACCTTATATCTGCAAAACGAGGAGTAAAGACACAGGCCATAGTTGGGGCTGTTTCTTTTTTATCTTTCTGCAATGAATATTCCCCTCCTCAGCAGCAGATATTATCGATTTTAAAGTGTAGTTGACCAAAATTATCTTCTATTTATGTCTAATCCCATAGGCTTATCTTTTGGTGTAGGTCCTGCCTATGCTGTCTAGATCAGGTGTTTCATCCAGGGTCACACTGGAGGTGTGCAGATGCCAAAGTCAGACAGAATAACAGACACATAAGTGTTAAACTGAAAAAATAGAACAGCATTATAATTTTACAGCTATTATGTATGGATTATATACAGAATGAACAGGCCTATGGGCATTTCCTTCTCAGTCATCTGATTAAATATTAAAAAAAAGGAGACTATTCTAAGACAAAAATGCTTAAACATGTTCTACGTGAAAATAAAAATTTATGTATGCAGAAACTGTCAAACAATCAAAGATATGAGAGCATTCTGGTACATGACTGACTAAATGAAGCTTTAAGACATTTTCTGTATTTAATTACTTTTTACCAGTTGCTTTATCATGACTAACAGATTTTTCTTTAGAACTATTTCCCCAGCATTCATTTATAGTGATCACAGATGCTGCTAAGTGACTCAGTAGAGGCTGACATCATGACCAGAATCCATCAGTGTTGCATTTCACTCTTAACCCTACAGAAGACACTTCCTATTTCCTCCCTGCCTTGAAGTAACTCGGTGAATACTCCAACAATTGCAAGAAATTGTTGCAAGAATTTCAGTTCCACAACAGAAGTAGGTTAATGATGATATTTCCTTAGTAGGTTAATTATTATGATATTTCTTCAGAGAGGGACTCACTAAGTGGCTGCCAAACCGAAAACCCGAATGCAAGCAACACAACATCAAAAGGCAGAAACCAGGAAGAGCCTGGATTTTCAGCAGTTATTCGATTTCAAGGAAATCCAGTAACATTTTTAATGTACAAACTGCTGTCCAGGTGATCTCTGCCCTCACTCTTGAAGCTTCTGTAACTTAGCTGTTCTTGCAAGAGGGCCTTGCCTCTCCATAAAGTAGAATAAAGCCCCACAGCTCTACTATTAGGGGTAGACACAGACCGCCCTGGTCAGTGTGCAGTCCCCAGAGAACTAAAACCAGAGGAGAGCACAACTACAGTACAGAGAACTGTCTGGCTGTCCTTGGGTGAATCTAGGCCAAAGCTCAGATCCTTCAAATGCATGTCCATCTGCCATTAACATTCCACCTGAGGCTGTTCAAAGTCATTTGCAGAGAATGGCTACACAAATCCCAGTTCAGCAAGTGCAAACAGTGCTGCCCTACCTGTGTGTGGTTCATCCCAAGCAAAGGGAAACTCATCCTTCAGCTGTCCTTCCTGCTGTTAGTACTTAATACCTAAATACTCAAGACAGAGGAGGGAATGGAATCTGGATTTCCCACAGCTGAATGCTCTAGCTCCTAAAAGGAGGGGCAAAAGGGGAGAAGGCAGAGCCACTTCTGGACCCTCTTACAGCCTATACAAAGCCCCATCTCCCAGAGGAAGTTCAAGGTTATAAATCCTCAGACCAAGACAAGACCTTCTGGCAATCCACAGCCAAGTGCCTATCCCCACAAGACGAGAAGGGCGAAAGTTGCCCAGCTCTCCTCAGCATATCTGCCAGCCCTGCCTAAGGAACTCAGTCTAAGCAAGATTTCTTTTAATATATCACTCTTGGTTGTTCATACTTCCTTCTATACCATTTACCTTGGGTCCTCAGCTTAAGGCTGAGAAACCCATTTGAAAGTAAGGCACCTGGAGGTAAGTTGCTCACAGTCAGTATATCTGCACCTCCCCATTTAACAGTGTATCCAAAACCTTATATGCTCCATCACAACTCAGTGTCTCTGAATAGCTGCTCCCTTCAGACAGTCCTTTTGAAGAGAACAACTGCTCTAGGAGACAACAAGAAACAGGGTTTGGGAGTGTCAAACAACAGAAGCACCCTCAGATTATAAAGTGATGGGAAATAGGAAAATGCACAACAGGAGAAAAGGGGTAGATAAAGCACATCACTACAAATAAGAATTATGTGTCTTGATTTTGCATCACAAGTTAGGAGGGGTAGAATAGCAGTGCTTTACAAATTGCTACCTTGAAAGATGCACAATTAGTTCAGCATCACATCCAACAGATGCCATAGACAGATCCTCCAGCGTAGTGTTAAAGAAATAGCCCCAGGTATAATCATGCAGAGATGTGTCCATGGGGGAAGCTTATTTCTAATTCACATCCTGCACCCATCACAGAATTGTGTGTCTGTGGGACTTTGTGGTCACTACATGTGGTCTGGTCAGGAAGGTGAAAATTACCATATCCTAGAGTTTAAGACTTCTCATAGGCGTGCATTTTTCTGCCTTAACATTATCTCAAGCAAAATAATCAGAAGAGCAGATAATAACTGTAGATAAGCAACCTCGCAGAAGTATAGGGAAGACAATTAAGAGTCAGCAGTGCAGTTGTAAACTTCAAGACCAAGTGTGGGAACTACCAACAGCAGGAGTGATGAGCTGAAAATAAAAATCAGCTAATAAGTTGTAGAGCCCAGCAAGAGGCAAACTGTCAGTTACAGAGGATGCAGAGAAAAAGAAGATTTTGCTGAGGGGACTAATGATGTTAAAACTGGTTGAGCAAGAAACTGTAGGCCTTTTAAAAAAAGGAAGCAAGTACATAAGGTGGTTTATTAGTTCACATAGGTTATCCAAAATGCTCCATTAACCAAAGCAAAATACTACTGTGAGAGGTCCCACAGGGAACAGAATTGCAAGGCTGTAAGTCCAAGAGCACCCCTCAGCAAACATTGCTTCTCATGGCAGCCTTGCTGCCACTCAACTGCCTTTTGGCTGTGCTACATCAAGTGTTTGTGGAGTCACACAGAGCTGGGAGAGATAGATTGATCCCCATCCAGGTTTACGGGCTTAAAAACAGCTTCAGAGTGGTCCTATCACTGCAACTGAGAGCACAGCAAGGAGGCTGCCAAGAGAAGAAGCACCTACCTAACCCACCACCGTGAGAAGTGTTCATCAAAGAGGGCCTTAAAATAGGGTTTTTGAGGTAAGGATGACAGTGTGCACCCAGACTCATCAAAAAGCTGAGAGAGTTCACTTGGAGTCAAGGACTGGCAATGGCCAGAGAGATCAGGCT